ATCTTACGGACTCTTCTCGGCGAATTCCACGACGCACGACTTTCAACACACCTTGGCGTGAACCGCACATTAGCACGCCTCCGCCAGCGTTTTCACTGGCCCGACGTCCTTCATGACGTCACGAGGTACATTGAGTCATGTGCAGTTTGCCACCGTAACAAGGGTCGATCTCGAGTCCCCTTCGGCGAACTGAAACCGTTGCCGATTCCTCGGGCACCATTGCTATGGACGTGACAGGCCCGTTCCCCCGAGATCGCCATGGCCATGATGGTATTCTCACGGTCGTTGACCGTTTGAGCAAGTATGCTCGCTTCCTTCCTTGCAAGTATCATGCTGCAACGCCCGAGCTCGCACGACTCTTGCACACCGGTTGGATTACCAACCAGGGTGTTCCAGAAGACATAGTGAGCGACCGAGATACTCGCTTCATGTCAGCCTTTTGGACTTCCCTCATGGCTGAGTCCGGTACGACAATGAAGCTGAGCTCGGCTCGGCACCCGCAGACGAATGGCCAGACGGAGCGAGCGCACCAGACCGCTCAGATGATGTTGCGTACGCTCATCCGTCCTGACCAGAAAGATTGGGTTGACCGGCTTCTCGACATTGAGTTCGCCTACAACACTTCGGTGCATCCGGCGATCTGCGTCACACCATTCGAGCTACATCATGGTGGAGAGAAAGCACGGATCTTCGCTGATATCCTTTTGCCACAGGCTGCCGACATAGACGTCCCTTGCTCTCCCGCTTCCGTTCGGAAGTACCGGGACTTGTTGATCAAAGCCCGCACAAATATGCAAAAGGCTCAGATCCGCATGCAGCAGCAGGCAACCGACGTCGACTTCCATGTCCTTTCCGCGAGGGAGACCTTGTTTGGGTCCTCTCCGAGGAATTTGCGCTCGAGCAAGATGTTTCGCGCAAACTCCTCCCGAAATGGTTCGGACCATGGGAAGTTACTTCTGCCGTTGGAGACGACCCCGCAGGTCCTTCCTTTGTGGTCAACATTCCTCCGCACCTTCCAGTGCACCGGGTCTTCCACGCGTCGAAGCTGGCCATCTACACGCCACCTTCCGCCGACGAGTTTCCTGGCCGTCGATCACAGGATCCACCTTCTATGGACGGACATCAGGAAGTCGATCGAGTCATCACGCACCGCAAGTATGGCAACAAGCCAAGGCAGTTCAAAGTCACCTTCAAGCAATGTGCGCCTGATGACACTCGGTGGATCTCCAGTACAGATTTGCAGACTTCTGCACCCCTTATCTTCGCCGAATATGAGAAGCGACGCCTTGCTAAGGAMGCAGCTCGTCCCGCCCGACCCACCCCGGTATCGGACAGACAACTCCGCCCTCGCAGGTAGCTCAGTCTTTTAAGAGGGGGAGTGTGTGACATCTTCGACGCACACGGGTCCTACCGGACCCGACTTAGGGCTAGAGGGACACATTAGGGCCTAAAGGCCCGACCTTGGGGGATTATCAGGCCAAAAGGCCACGACTTGGACAGACCGACGGACCAGGCCCAAACGACATTTCGTTTTGGGCCTGGCGGCGCCTTTGAAGCTGCCGCTCTCCGGTTGGACCTGAATCGTCGATCTGAACGGTTCAGACCCAACCGAGGCCRCGCAGCATTSAGGCCGGTCTTCTTCGAACCAGTACTTAGTACTGGTCCGGCCTCACTTCGAGGCATCGACCCACCGGTACTCTAGCGGTGCGGTATGGTACGGCGCGACAGCGCTGGCGCTATTTTGAGCGCAGGAGCGGAGAACAGAAGCAGCAGCGCGAGCTAGCGCAGCAGCAGCAGCGAGCGAGGAGACCAGCAGCAGCACGGCGGCCATAGCCGCCTCGACAGCAGCCGGGCAGGTACCAGGAGGCGAGGATCTCTTCCTCCCTCCACGGTCCCTTTCCCTCCTCCTCACCTCCGTCTTCCCCACTCTCTCTCTCTCTTCTTCTCCCTCTCCCTCTCCTTCTTCAGACTTCAGAATTCTTCTTCTTCTTCTTCTTCTTCTTCTTCTTCTTCTTCTTCTTCTTCTTCTTCTTCTTCTTCTTCAGACTTCATCTTCTTCTTCTTCTTCTTCTTCTTCTTCTTCAGACTTCATCTTCTTCTTCTTCAGATTGGAGACTTATACTAGTTGGACAGAGATCAGTGTTGGACTTCGGTGATAAGAGGCTGTGGTACTTTCCGGGTTCGAGACTTGGAGATTGTTGGGGATGATACTCGGCTGCATCACAGATTTGACACCGGTTACATTAGGACTCTGGATCTCCGACATTGGTGACTTATTGTCCTCGACATTTTGATCTTGTTCGATGACATTTTGGATTACCATATCGGTGACCTACTGGTTTCTATCTCGGTGACATGTGGCGCTACCTACATCTCCCACCTCCTTCGCCTCTCCTCCCACCTTCATCTGTGCATGTGTGTACGGGGCTGAGCATCGTCCATGTATAGCTCAGACCCCACCATCTCACGATTGTATGTGTGTGGAGTGATATCTATGTGAGTCAGTCCGTTTATCAGACTTCCGCTGCATATATGCTCATCCTACATTGGTTGATCTTTGGTTCTGCCCATACTCATTGAAGTATGTAGGAGGAGGGTTATTTTAGAATGACGACCATGTTTGTCTTGAGACCTCCCCTGTGTCATGATCATTTGAGCTTTTTCTCCCAACTGGTTGTCAGGTCAACCCTTCCCTGCACAACTTCAAAAAAAAAAAAAGCACAAAAAAAAGCACAAAAAAAAGCACAAAAAAAAGCACAAAAAAAAGCACAAAAAAAAGCACAAAAAAAAGCACAAAAAAAAGCACAAAAAAAAAGCACAAAAAAAAAGCACAAAAAAAAAGCACAAAAAAAAAGCACAAAAAAAAGCACTTCCCACAACTACACACACCGCCTCTGAAAGACGAAACTTTTATTTTTCAAGTCACTTCTGCGATGTCAGTCTTCTACTGAAAATAGGTTCACTGAATGGCATAGCGCCCTGGGCCCCGGGCCCTATTCTATGAGCCGATTTTCTCTGGGCCTTTAGGGAGCTTCCCCTCTCCCAAATTGAATCTGTGGACTGCCTCTGTACTTCATTTATGCTTCTGCTTCGACTCTTGGAAGCGCATAACTGAAACGTTTTCATTTTTTTCATTTTTTTTTTCACTATTTTTTCTATCTCTGCGCATAACTGAAAGTCTGAATCGCATGATAATAAAATGTTCAGTTGCAGTGACATTAGTGATGATTAGTCACACTTGGATTTAGCTTACCCCCACTTTTATAACTCTTTTGTTTGGTTTACGATGTACTGGTTATAACAGTTGGCCACCTTTTGGGTCTCGACTCTCGATTACATTACATCTTTTTGTAGAAGATTTAACAAACGAAAGGACGCATAGAGTCTGAGTATGATCTAAGTCAGAGGTAAAGGTTATGATCTGGTTTGTAGGTTTCTTAGTCGTTTTGGTTGTAGGCTTCTCAGTTGTTTTGGTTGAAGATCTTTTTAGTTGTTTTCCTTTCGGCTTCTGATATGGACTTGGCCGGTGATGCCTCGCTCGTAATCAGAAGCCTACTACAGATATGTGAGGGACGCCGGGCCCGTTTCCTGGCTTGTATAAAAGTCTGCATTTGATAATAAAAAAAAAGAAAAAAGAAAGTCTGAAACCAATTGAAGCCAATTGAAAATGTTTACGACCGACGTCTTAAGTTTGTGTTGCTGTCTCAGTATGCAGGTGCTAGGAGGATTCTTTTTTTTGTTTTTTTTGGAGGGGGCAGGAGGATTCTCATCAGTCTAGGGAATGACGTTGCATAATGGAAGAAAATTAGAAATGAGCGTATAGATGGTGGAAGTACGGTTGGACTCCGAAGCAAAAAAGAGTTTTGCAGGATGACGGGTTACTATAAGGCTATAAGCTAAACCGGCTGGTGCTGCCGGGATAACAGCGGGGGGTGGAATTGTGAGGATCCCCGGCCTCGTTCAATGATGATTTGGTAATAAAAGAATTGCGTGTGTTAAAAAGAAAAAAGACAAAAAAGAAAAAAAAAGAAAAAAAAAAGAAAAAAAAAGAAAAAAAGAAGAAGCTGGTGTTGCTGTGTGTTATTCCAGTTGGTTTACGTTGTGTGCTCGTATAACGAAAAGTTGAAAACATTAGCACAGCACTGTTTGTCGACTGTGCTATTGTCTTCTCTATCTATGTTACCAGAGTAGGTGGGGACCACTTGCCCGGCCGGGCCAAAAATGAATAAAAAATTAAAAATTATTAATTTTCAATTTTATTTTTAGTTTGGCAAAGAATCTGGATGTGACCCTAAGGCAAAAGTTGTTCAGTGTATTAAACTTCATTTTCCTGCACAACATAGTTTTTTTTTTTTTCTTTTTTTTTTTTTTTACAGGGACCTTCCCTGGCCCTTCCGCGACGGGCTGACCAGGCAATCAAGGCGATCCGCGCGGCCCGCTTGGTAACCCAGTTCTGTATAAACGATTCTTGCCCGTCACTTTGAATTGTTGGGGAGCACTGGACTTGACTAAATGGATGAACTTTGATGCGACGAGTCCTTTGACTGCATATACCTTGGGTTCCCTTCCTGCTTGTACCCTCTGTAGAGAAACGAATTAATATAATTAAATTAATAAAATATATTAAAATCTGCGGTTTCCATTGGGTGGGTCATGTGTGGAGGGCCGATGTCAAGGGGAAGGGAGGAAGGGTAGAAGGG